AGAGAGAGAGAGAGAACGAGAAATAGTCGTCACGATGGGTTCCCCGAGGGGGCGAAGGAACTCAGCGCCCCCAGTCGTGGCTGGTCGGTTCGTGCAGTCTTCCTGCCGTCGAAGAGCCCTTCGGTGGTTCAAAGAGGCGGTCCTGAAGGATGGGGTCCTAAGGACGAGGTGCCTCAGACGGTAAATCCATGGATCCTCGCTTATCCTTTGGACCCAATGCCTCAGGACCCCCATCGTTGAGCCAAGGACACATTATAAACACACGCTCTCGGAGGTCCGCGATGGGCGCCCCTTGCGGCACCTCCCTGGCGCGCTCCTCGCGCCACGGGGGGGCGTCCATCGCCGATCAGAGTAGTCCGCGGGGACCTCCGAAAGTTCACGTCCGTTCAGTTCTTTATTCTGTTGTCTGGGGCGCCTGCCCGCCTTCCGTCGCGGTCCTGGCATTATGGACATTGTCTGCTTTGCGACGCGTGTGCCGTCAGGTAGCCAAACCCCTGCGAGCCTGGCAGGGCAGCGCTGCCTGCAGCACCCTGGCGTGGCTCCACTGGGAGCCTGAGGCCGTAGCACCACGCTACAAGGACTACATGTTCTGACGGCGCTGCCTTCTCTTCTCGGGACGATCGAAGTGGGTACGGAAACAAAGGGTATTCAGTTCAACAGCAAATCTGCTTCATGCTGACAAGGGTTCGCTGTCGGCGTCGCCGCGGCCGTTGTCCATCTGAGACGGAAGGCTGCTTGCCCAAACAGCGTCCTCTCTCGGTTTGGGATAACATTTGCTGTGTGGTATCGTGCCCATTTTTTCCGTGCCCAGTCCAGGCGTCCAAATCTTCCATGGCTCCGTGGCCGCTTCTCTCCCCACTCATCGGGCTCCCCTGTGCGCTGTTCGCTTTGCTGTGGCCCAGCGTTTGCTACAGTCGGGCTGAGGTATAAGATCGAGGTCGGTTCGGGGAGGGTGCCCCGGTGTTATTTGAGTTCGGTTGGATGTTCTTGTGCATCCTGGGGCAAGGCAGCCTCGAATGCTCTTCGGTTTTGGGCCGGCGGAGGGTCTCGTGTTTTTGAAGGATGGTCTTTTTGTCTTAGGATCGACTGTGCGACCGACTCGCGCGCCCGCCGAGTCCGAGGCATGTCGCGTGGCGTCAGGCTCTGCCTCCGCGGGTGCACGGGCGCGACGGGCAGCGGGGCAGAGGAGTCTCGCGAGCCGAGGCGGTCGGGCGAGCCGTCGCTGGCGTCGTGCGTGAAGTTGCGGGGGCGTTCGCAGGGCGCCAGGGCAGGAGGACGAAGACGATGGGATGGAGGCAGGGAGGGCACGGGGGAGGCTGCTTTGTATCCTCTGGCGCGTAGCCTCTGTTGTCCGCCCCCCCCTCCCACATGCTGGTGCCGGCGTGCAGGCCTGGCGATCGCAGCTCGCCCCCGCCCCGACGTGCCCCACCCCGCCTCGGCGTTGTCGCTGCCTGGGGTTCCCGCAGGCAGCGGCAGTTGCCGGGGAGTATGACACAGCAGTCTCGAGGAGGGGAAGTCAAACATACAAAGCCATAAGCATAACCTTTCGGATGCCCGTGCGGATGTTTCGGGTCTGCTCGGGGCCCTCCTGGGCGCGGCCTCCGCGCGCCCGTAGTGGGGGTCCAGCGCCGATCCGAGAAACGGGACATCTGAGCACTTATTTTTACGTCTTAGAGAAGCGGATGATGAGGGTGCAGAGGCAGGGAGGACATGTAGGAGGGTCATGGACGAAGGGGAGAAAAAAAGCGGACAGATAGCAGGAGCAGGCGGAGGTAATGGTGACGAATGGATGGGCAGGGAGGAGGAGGCGGAGGAGGAGGAGGAGGAGGAGGAAGAGGAGGAGGAGGAAGAGGAGGAGGAGGAGGACGACCAGTTTAAACCCAAGATTCAATACATCCTCCCTCCAAGTTCCCGCTCTATAGGTTCCTACAAGGGCTCGTTTTCAGTGAGGGACGTGCCCCGTTGGAAGACAACCGCATGACATCCTGCAGCGTGCCAGAACACCATTCCTGGGACTTCAACGCTGCGAATCAACGTTTCTGTTGCGTCCTGACGATCCTGAATCGTGTCAGCATGTCGTCCCTAGGACTTCAACCACAGCGAATCAAAGTGACGGTTGCGCCCTGACAGTCCCACATCGTGCCAGAACACTTTTTCTTCTGTGAGGCAACCATCATAATCTTTGAAACTGCTGTGAACGCTCAAGACGAATGTGCGCGGCGCTTTGGCGAGAGCCGCATTCAAAGAAGCACCGCCCTTCGGGCCGGACGAAAGGGGGGGGGATTGGGAAAGGGGGGGGGTACGAAATCTGCTGCATGCAGCTGGTTTCGGCTTCGCCGAGGGGCCCATTCCTCGATACACAGCCGCCTCCGGCGCTGGGAGGCGCCGGGGAGATCAGCTGCGTGAGCTGATTCTCAAACCCCCCCCCTCTGCTAAATCCCCCCCCTCTCGCCCGACCCGAGCCCTCCACCCGTGAAGCTCCTGCGGGCTCTTGAGACGACCGCGCTCGGAGGGCGACGACACAGTCCACGCCGGCAGAGCCGCCCGCCCTCCGTCCGAGACGCTGGAGTGCAAACTCTGAGAGGGGGGAGGGTGCGCGGCGCTCGGAAGACGGCCCGCCCCCCACCCGTGAAGCTCTCGCGGCGCCTGTCTTCGGCGAGCGCCCGCGTCGCCCTGGCGACTTGAGAAACGACCCGCCCTCCACCCCCGAAGCTCTCCTGCAAGCTCTCGAGACGAACGTGCGCGGCGTTGAGGCGAGAGCCGCATTTTGAGAGTCACCCGCCCTCCACCCGTAAGACTGTTGGAGCTTTCGAGCTTCAGGATCATTGCTGTTGAGGACTGCTCGGGCGAACCGCCCGGCCTGCCCTGCGGACACGTTCTGGGTTTGCGACAGGGAGGAGTTATATATTTGTGAGGAGAAGGGGTGGATGAGGAGGCGGGTCAGAGTAAACCCAGGATGCATCAGTGGTGCTGGAATGCACGGAGGACGAGGGGGAGGGTGAGGGGCAGGAGAGGGAGCGGAAGAGGTAGAGGGATCGGAATCGGGGAGCAGGCGAGGCGCAGGGAGGGTCGAGGAACGACGGGGAGGAGCGATGGCAGAGGGACGAGGACAAGGGACGACAGGACCCAGACATGCGATGTTCTGACATTTTTCAAAGCGCGGTCCCCAGACGTCCCGACCCCCTCCCCGGGGCAGGCTTTCCATCCTGGGCCGTTTTGTGACGGTTCTGGAGCCCAGCAAGGGTCAGGGGCGGCCTGACCGACCTTTGGCAAACCATCTCCTTCCGTGACGTCCTTCTCGCCTCGCCCGGAGACGTACGTATGCGGCTGGAGAGGGGGCTCGAAAGGCGAGGATGACGTCGCGGAAGGCGATGGTTTTCTAGGGGTCGGTTAGGCCGCGCCCGAAAAGGGGCTCCCACATGTAGAACACGGGCGAAGGCCTCGCGCTGCAATCTTTCCCCGACGCGAGCACGTCCGGGGGCCCCTCCTGCCGCGCCCCCTGGGGCCCGAGCGTGGCCGCAGCGAACAAAAGCTGCGGCGCCGCGGAAGGTCACGACTGGCACGTAGGAGGAGGAGGAGGAGGAGGAGGAGGAGGAGGAGGAGGAGGAGGAGGAGGAGGAGGAGGAGGAGGAGGAGGAGGAAAAGGAGGAGGAGGAGGAGGAGGAGCAGGAGGAGGAGGAGGAGGAAGAGGAGGAGGAGGAGGAGCAGGAGTAGGAGGAGGAGGAGGAGGAGGAGGTGGAGGAGGAGGAGGAGGAGGAGGAGGAGGAGGAGGAGGGGGAGGCGAGCGAGCGAGCCTCAAGTCTGCGGGTGAACCACTAGCAGACAGAGAAAATATGGAGCCTGGAACGGCGCCCCAACGGCCTGCACAGCAACCGCAGACGTACCGCACACGTGCTGCCGACCGAAGGGGAAGGGCCCGACAGGGATCACCCGCTGCACACCATCCGCGCCAGGAGCGCACACGTGGTGACAGCGGGGCCCTGCCAGGCCAGCCTCTCATCCCTTCTTGGACCCGTCCAGGATGGTCCTCTGGGCGCCCAGCTGCTTGCGGTCCTCGAGGAGGTCGCGTAGCTCGCCGAGCTTGAGAAGCGGGAAGAACTTGGCGCCCTGGGTCGGGTTGGAGGACATCGCCAGGAGCTCCGCGACAAGCGCCGCGTGCTCGGAAGGGACATCCATGGCGTCGGCTCCGCCAGCCGCAGTTGGCTCCGCCGCCGCCGCACTCGCAGGCGCCACGCCGCCATGGACAGCACCAGGGCCCGCGCCAGCCTCCGTAGGCGAAGAGCCCGCTCCAGCCGCGCCGCCCTCGTCCGCCGAGACGTCCATGGCGGCCGCAGCTTCAGCTTCAGCTGCGGCCTCGCCCCGCTCCAGAGCCCGCATCCCAGCGAGCCTCGCGCGGCGGCGTTTCCTCCGCTCCACTTGCGCCTCCGTGCGGACACGAGGGCGAGTAGCAGCAGCGGCGGGTCGTTCAGGAGCTCCTTCAGCGTCGTCTCCGGCCGGCAGCACGGGGGCCCCAGCGCTCTGGAAGAGCGCCGCTGAGACCGCCGACCGTGCGACGGCCGCCACGGTGCGCCGAGGAGCGCCAGCAAGCACAGCGCCTCGGACGGCGGCCTCAACCAGCGAGGCAGCCAGGGAGGGCGGCGCGCAAGCCCCTCTAGGCCCCGCCATCGCGCGCCGAGGGGCAGCGCGAGCAAGGCCGTGCGAACGCTTGAGCCAAAATGGCTACGGAGGAAGAGGGGGAGGGGGAAGGGGAGGGGGAGGGGGAGGGGGAGGGGGAGGAGGTGGGGGAGGGGGAGGAGGGGGAGGGGGCGGCGCGAGGGCGCGAAGATAATCCTAAAGACCCATCTTTCCGCGGCGTTTCTCGAGCCGGATCGATCCGTGGTGGTCCTGGGGCCGGGAGGCGGGCGAAGCCGTCTGGTGTGAAAAGGCGGCACGTCTGGGAAAGGACGAGGGTTCGGCGGCGGTGGCGAGGCCCGACGAGGGCGGACAACCGTTGCCGCGAGGCCGCGAGGGCGCCAGCCAGCGGCTCACCGTCGCGCGGCCCCCTGCTGCCGATGGAGCGCCGCGCGTTCTGCTTCCTGCGGGGGCCCGTCGTCGGTCGCCCTCCCTCGCTTCTGCTTCTCCTCTGCCCCCCAGCCTAGACGCTTCGCGTACCCCACCAGCCCATCCACAAACGAAGCCCAGACGAGTTCCCCTGATCAGGGATGTGGAGGAGAATGCAGTATAATGAAAGACTGGGTAAGACGTCGCACCCCAAGATTAGGAGGATGGAGAAGGAATCGGAGGAGCAGCAGCAGCAGCAGGAGGAGGAGGAGGAGTAGGAGGTGGAGGTGAAGGAGGAGGAGGAGCAGGAGGAGGAGGAGAAGCAGGATGAGGGAGAGGGGAGAGCGGGAGGGAGGGGGGAAGGAGGAAGGAGGAAACGGCGGATGATGATGATGATGATGATGATGATGATGATGATGATGATGATGATGATGATGATGATGATGATGATGATGATGATGATGATGATGATGATGATGATGATGATGATGATGATGATGATGATGATGATGATGATGCGGCTGCTGCTGCTGATGCTGATGCTGATGCTGATGATGATGATGATGATCATGATCATGATCATGATCATGATGATGATGCTGATGATGCTGATGATGATGAGAATGCTGCTTCTGATGATGCTGCTGATTATGATGATGCTGATGCTGCAGATGATGCTGATTATGCTGATTATGATGACGATTATGATGAACATGCAGCTGCTGCTGCTGCTGCTGCTGCTGCTGCTGCTGCTGACGACGACGACGACGACGACGACGACGACGACGACGACGACGATGATGATGATGATGATGATGATGATGATGATGATGATGATGATGATGATGATGATGATGATGATGATGATGATGATGATGATGATGATGATGATGATGATACTGCTGCTGCTGATGATGATGGTGGTGGTGGTGATGATGATGATGAGGATGCTGATGATGAGCGGCCGAGCGGCCGAGCGACCGAGCGTCCGACGACCGACCGACCGACCGAGCGATCGACGACGACGACGACGTCGACCTACGGTGAGTGACGACCAACAGACCACGACGACGGCAACGACCACCGACCGACCGACTGACCGACCGACCAAGGACGACCGAACGACGAGGACGACGACCGACGCCGACGACCGACGGACGACGACGACAGATCGACCGATAGAAGGCCGACCGCGAGCGGCCGAGGCCGAATTTCAGAGCGCGCGGGCCGTGTCAAATTCTAGAAGGGAGCGCTTCGAGGACGCGGCCCCCCTCCCCCTCTGCACCCCCGCCCGTTGACGGGGGGAGGGACAGTGGCAGGCGAATGTGCCACCTCGGGCTCCGAATCCTGCACAAACCTATGGTGTTGAGACCACCCGCCGGGGCCGAGTGAACCCGACTGAACCACGAACGAACCTCCATATGTACCAGAACGTGCCCCCGACTGAACCCTCCCCAGCACCCCAGACGGACCCCGACTCAACCCCCCAGACGTCGTCGTCGCTGTTAGTCGGCCGTCGCCGTGGTTCGCCGTTCTCGTTACTCGTCGTTCGTAGGGCGTTGTCCTGAGTCGGTCCGACGGTCGTCGTCTTCGTCCTCGTCGTCGTCCGTCGCCTTCGGTCGCCTTGGCTACGGATGCAATGAGGTTGAGAACGTGTCGTTGGACCCAAAATCTGCCCGGTATGGTATGCACATTGAAGTTTCACTACCAACAATAGAAGTCACCTGACTGTAGATATGGTCCCCGCCCGAAGAAACCACTCGTTCGTTAGGGTCACCGACCCGATCCGCCCGCTCGTTAAGGCCCGCCTGACCCGACCTGCCCGCCCGTTTGGGTCCTCTTGGCTCGAGCTGCCCGCCCGTTAGGGCCCGCCCGCCCGACGCGTCCGCCAGGGTCATTCTAACCGACCCGCGCGCTAGGGTCCGCCTTCCTGACCCGCCCGTCAGGGCCCGCCCGTCTGGAAGGGCCGTCGCCGTCCTTATCCTCGTCGTCGTTGTCGCCCTCTCTTCGTCATCCTCGTCGTCGGCGTCTTCGTTCTCTTGGTCTTCGTTGCGCTCGTCGCCTTTGTCGTTGTCAATGTCTTCGTTGTCGTCTTCTTCGTCGTTGGTGTCGTCGTCGTCGGTGTCGTCGTCGTCGTCGTCGTCGTCGTCGTCGTCGACATCGTCGTCCTTTTCGTCCTCGCCGTCGTCCTTGTCGTCGTCTTCGTCGTCGTTGGTATTCTTGTCACCCTCGTCGGCGTTGCCGTCGTCCTAGTCGTATCCCTCGTAGATGCTTTGCTTGCAGTGTAACTGTTGGCACTCCTGTGGCTCAGGTCCCAAGCCCGTGTCAGCCCAGAGAGGAGGCATGGTTATGGTGCTAGTTTTAGATGCACGTGCCCATATAATTAGTATTGTGACCATTCCCGGTCCGAACTCAATTTGTTTCCCCATGGGATGGTCATGTTATACGAACACGTGTAAGCACGTGCATAAGTTCATAAGCATCTCATTGTTTCTGGTGGAGGTGTTTGAGTTTGTTGTCATTTTACTACCTACCGGTGTCACTTTAATGATTTTCCAATTGATGTTTGATACGAGCCCCAACCAGGGTTGCGGTTATGCTTACCGTTCTAGTTGCACGATCATTGTTTAGTGGCCTTCGGCCCATCCCGCCACTCGGACTAGGTTCTATGTCAGAGGCCTCTCGGACGCCTGTGGGGATCTCTTGGGAGGCCTCCCAGAAGCCCCTTGGAGACGGTTTTGGGGGTGCTTTGGGGCCTCTCGGGGGCCTCTTGGGGGCCTCCTGGCGGCCTGATTTGGGCCTCTCGGGGGCCTCCTGGGGCTTTGGGCCCTAGGGGGCCTGCTGGCGGTCTCGGGGGTCGTCTTGGGGCGGGATGCTCGACATGTCGGTTCGTGTTCCCCCTCTGCTGCCTCTCTTGGGCCCCTCTTGGGGCCCTCTTGGGCCGTTTTGGAGGTCTCTTGGGCTGTCTTGGGGATCTCTTGGGCCGTCTTAGGGGCCTATGGGGGGCCCCTGGCGCGAGAAATTTGTCATCGCTCAGGAACTCAACGAACGTCACCGATTTTGGTCCTTTTGGTCCTCTTCGAAGGGCGCGTGGGGCTCTCTTGGGGCATCGTGGGGGCCTCTTGGGTGGGCAGTCGTGAGGCCACCTTCGGTATCTTGGAGCGCTCTTGGGCCGACCCGGGGCCCTGTCGGACCGTCTTGGGCGCCTCTCCGACCAAGTGCTGCGGGGACGCTCGCCAAGCAAGCACGAAGACATGTGTCGGGAGCGGAAAAGAGGGGGGTGATGACTAGGGGGGGTGGATATCATGGCGGGGGCCGTAATTTTTCCCCAGATTTCACGGCGCCCCTTCTCTTTCCTTACGTCCCTGGCCCCCCCGCTGGGCCGCGCACATGCCGCCGGTCATGATTTGCACCCCCCCCCCTTGGACACCCCCCTCTTGGCCGCTCCCGAATGTGGGAAGCCCTGGACAGTTGAAGAACTTGGCTCCGGGCCTCGGTATGAAAATCTCAGGACTGAAGGCGGAAGGCTCAGGGGACCCGAGGACACGCCAATTCGTGGCTCAGGGCACGGTGGCGGATGCTAGCATCATGCGTATAGCCTGGGAACAGAAGGTAGGGCTTGCTATCACTGCTATGCTTCTGATCCTGATACGTGGCCAAGGCAAAGAAACTGGGGAATGGTCGTGGTTACGATTTTGATTATGGTTCAGCCATCACAGGGTGATTGCGAATTCTCTTTTCTGAAAAGGAGATAGGTTCTACCACCCTCCCCCCGGACTTATCGATTCCCCGGGAACCGATGCAAAGCACATATGATTCAAACCCAATGTCCATCCTACTTGTGGATTCATTTTAAGTCCAGCCAAAAAGGTATCGGTCCCCCTTCGGTTCCCTGGCAAAAAAGCTGTGCGCGCACACACGTTGATTATAATCATCGGTCTTCAAGAATCCCTTGCAAAAAACGGGACGAAGTGCACACGCGCGCGTCGTCGCGCGCGCATGCCGAATCCCTTCACAAACCTTTGGTTTCGGAAAGATGTCAAAATCGAGTGTCCAACACACATTTAAAACAACACACGGTTTCGCAACACGGATTTTCAACAAAAGCGTGCGCGCGTGCTCTTGCGAGTTCTGAGGAAACCATAAGCTTTTCAACAGTTTCAGAACATGCTACCAAATGGGCTTCGCGCGCGGATGCCGAAGTAGTTCGAAAGTCCGTGCGCGCGTTCTGGTGTGGCACGATACGTGTCAAATAATACCATGCGAGTTACTCTCGCGCGTGTGTCGCGCGCGCATTTCGAATTCCTTCCAAAACCTTGATCACCTACGCGAAGACGCTGTCATCGTCGTCGGCGTGATCAGCATCGGCGCCTTCACTGGCTGCCCCGTCGTCGCTGTAGCATCGTCGCCAGCATCGCTACTATCAACATCGTGTCTACCGTTGTCGACGTTACCATGATACCGCGCCCGCCCAAGTCGCCGACTCGCACTGCAGTGCCCGCTGGGATGTGCCGAGCGGTCAGCGCCACCGCGTTCGCGTCGGCCGCGCAAAACTAGATGGCCGCTGCGCGCGCGAGCATGCGCGGGCTAGCGCGGCCGCAGATATGCACCAGCCAACACCCAGCACTCATCACAATCGCTCCCGCATGGGTTTTGCAAACCAAGTTTGGGGTGGGTGGGATGAATGCGCGAGCAGTGGACTTGACAACTTCAAGTTCGGCAAGTGATTTCTCCTTATACGTTTCACAGTACTCATAGCGTGAACCCTGGTTGAAGTTATTTTTCGTTGTTGGATATATGTTTCTCTATTGGCATTCCCACGCTTTAGTAAGACATCTCAATCGCCCAGTGCACCCGATGACCACCAAACCGTTCATTTCAAGAGGAAGTGCCGCCGTTAGGTTTTCGATCATGGACTCTTTCTAAATGCAACCGCCCAGCTTTTTCGCCGAAGCCGTTGGGAACTGCCGAAGACAGCCAGAAGCGGCCAGAAACCACCAAAAACTGCCAACGACCGCCTGAAGACCGCCAAGGACCGCTCAAGGCCTCCCGGTCACACGGAGTCCATGGCCACTCTTTCAGGGCCGTCTACGGTCCGATCGGATTCGATGTGATTTGATTCGCTGGCTGGGCCGCGATTCCGATGGGGTTCGATTTCTCTCTCGCTCTCTCTCTTCCTTTCTTTCTTTCTTTCTTTCTTTCTTTCTTCCTTTATTTATATATTTATATATACGGGGCAGTTCGCTATCGATCCGCTCCGTTTCCGATTTCGCGATTGGTTCCAGCTCAGGCCTGCTTTTTCGTCGCGCTTGGTAGCAACCAAGCCGTCCATTCCAAGCAGGAGTGCTGCCGCGCGCGCGGGCCGGAGGGAGAGGCGGCACCACCACCACCATGGACGCCACCTCCAGAGACTTGGCATCGCTAGGACGTGTGATTTTATTTCGGCGGGGGCTAGCGATGAGGCTTTTGGGCCATCTGGAACGACAATTGTACGAGGAACGGACGTCCGAGTGATGGCGAGGAGAGGAGGTGCACGATGCCTCCCCGAGCTGGGGACAGGGAGCGTTTCGAGCGGGGAAAGGGGGACCGCACGACCAGGGGATCCCCCCGCTCGGCCCTCGTGCTGGTGCTGGTGCTGTCGCACCTCCTCGGTCCTGCACCCCTCCACGAAGTCAGGCGCAAGTGTTTCTCCGCGGCGTGGCGGCGCCCACGAACCCCCAAATCTCAGTGTTCGCGCCTGCGTTTTTTTGTCTGGTATGTGTTTTCTCGGACCCCGCGGGCCGCGTGGCGCGCGCCGCTGAGCATTGGAAATTCTGGGCTGGTACAGTCGAGGCGTTGACCTAAGGAACCCTAAATAAGGAACGAGGCCCCTGTTTTCCAAAAGTTGAACTTCGATTTCGTATCGAAAACCTAAGGAAAATCCAAGGCAAGCTGCGAAACAATTAAGGAACACGGAGCCCCTCCCCAACGAAAAGGGTTCCTTCTTCAGAGCCCCGACTGCAGTGGTGGTGTTTGCCCCAAGCTCGTTTGGCCTGAAAAAGGGTTTCAGGTCAGTGACGTGGCTTCGGCTCGGGCGGGACTGTGCAGGAGCCGCCTGTGGCCTCACTGGCTGAACGCCTCTCGAGCCTACAACCCGCTGGATGAAAAAGTGGAGACCGTGGGGATCGAGGAAGACACGGTTGGCCTCCCGTTAGGCCACGGGGCCCCGGGACAATGTTGGACCCGGGGCCGAGTCGGGAATTTCAGATGCATCTCTCACCCCTTCTGATATCACAACGGCCAAATGGGGTCAGCGTCTGAAAATCTGATTCCGCCTGAGACTTCCGCCAACAAACATTCAGATCGCCTTTAAGGGCGATTTGAAAATTTGCCGCGACATCTGAACGTGGCGATTCTGTGTGGGACTTCCGCAGAACAAAAATCATACTCATCTTCATACTGCTTGAGAGCGGCGATATCGCTTGAGAATTCATCGCGCAGTATTTTACGACCGCTTTTCACACCGCCAGAGTGGCGATTTCGTTTGGGCCGTCCTAACCAGCGCGCGTCTCGTCCACCCCTGCGTCGCCGTTCCTCCGTTCGGGTCACGACTCTGTCTGGGAGTTATTTGGGATCGATCGACGGTCGAAGCTGGAGTTTTTCCCAGGGGGTTGGCGAAGACCCAGGGGCTGTTCCTGCCATAATGCCGATCACCATTTTTTAATCCAGGGGGTGGTAGGATACAGCAGCAGTGCGCATCCTCGTCTTCGGGTGCTCTGCCACCTCGAAGGTGATACATTCGGCCTCCCTCCAGTCCCAACAACTTTCATAAAACAGCACCCAAGCATAAACTTGCGTTTGGTTTCGCGGAGTGTCCAGCGGCCTCCGGAGGACAAGCGCCCCTCGGAGGCGTGGTGCGGTCTGCGGGGGCCCCTGGAGGAGACGTCGGCGACGCTTCCAGGCCCGCCCCCGGAGGGAGGGGGCAGCGAGGCGCGAGGAGGACGAGGAGAACGGGTGATGATGATGATGACGATGCTGATGATGATGATGATGATGATGATGATGATGATGCTGATGATGATGATGACGATGCTGATGATGATGATGATGATGATGATGATGATGATGACGATAACGATGATGATGATGATGATGCTGATGATGATGATGATGATGATGATGATGAGGTTGTTGTTGATGATGATGATGATGATGGTAATGATGCTTATGATGATGATGACGGTGATGATGATGATGATGACGATGCTGATGATGCTGCTGATGATGGCTGATGATGATGGAGCTGATGATGATGATCATGATGATGATGAGGATGATGATAATGATGACGATGCTGATTACGATGATGATGATGATGACGACGATGATGACCATGATGCTCATGCTCATGATTAACGTGATGATGATGACGCCGATGATGATGCTGCTGCTGATAATGATGTTGGTGATGATGATGATGATGCTGATGCTGATGATGATGGTGATGATGATGAAACTGATGATGCTGATGATGATGGCGATGACAATGGCGATGATCATGATGATTACGATGATGATGATGCTGATGATGATGATGGTTGTGATGGTGGTGGTGGTGGTGGTGGTGATGGATGATGTTGGCGATGATGACGACGATGATGATGATGCTGCTGATGATGATGATGATGACGCCGATGATAATGATGATGATGATTGATGATGATGATGATGATGATGATGATGATGATGATGCTGACGACGATGACGATGATGCTGCTGATGATGACGATAATGATGATGATACTGATGATGATGATGATGATGATGATGATGATGATGATCGTGATGGTGACGTTGATGGTAATGGTGATGGCGATGGTGATGTTGATGATGATTTTCATGATGAGCGCGATGATGCGGACGACGATGTTGGGGACGAGATTCAGGCTGATTCGGATGACGCTGATGCTGCTACTGATGATGCTGCTGCTGCTGATGATGATGATGATGATGGCGATGACGATGATCATGATGATTCTGATGCTGATGATGATGATAATGATGACGATGCTGATGATGATGATGGTGATGGTGAATGTGACGGTGATGGTAACGACTAGGAGGAAGAAGAGGATGCCGATGATTCTGAGGGTGACGAGAGGATGATAACGATGATGATGCTGCTGCTGCTGATGATGATGATGATGATGACGCCGATGATAATGATGATGATGATTATGATGATGCTGCTGCTGATGATGATGATGATGGTGCTGATGATAATGATGATGATAATGATCTTGGTGATGATGATGCTGATGATGATGAGAGCTGCGATCACGACGACGATGATGATGCTGTTTCTGATGATTACGATGGTGATGCTCATTATGGTTATGATGGTGATGGTGATGATGATGATGATGATGATGATGATGATGATGATGATGATGATGATAAGGTTGTTGATGATGATGGTGATGATGGTGATGATGCTGATGATGCTGATGCTGATGGCGATGACGATGGCGATGATGATGATGATGATGATGATGATGATGATGATGATGATGATGATGATGATTGTGATCTTGGTGGTGATGGTGCTGTGGGTGGTGGTGATGGATGATGCTGATGCTGATGATGATGACAACAACGACGACGATGATGATGATGATGATGTTGATGATGCTGATGATGATGACGCCGGTGATTTTGATGATGATGGTGATGATGATGATGCTGACGACGTCGATGATGATGCTCGTGACGATCACTACGACGATGACGATGATGATGACGACGATGATGATCATGATGCTTATGCTCGTGGTGATGTTTACGATGATGATGCTGCTGCTGCTGATGATGATGAGGCCGATGATGCTGCTGATGATGACGACGACGATGCTGATGCTGATGCTGATGATGATGGTGATGATGATGCCGATGATGATGATGATGATGATGATGATGATGATGATGATGGTGCTGACGATGACGACGACGATGCCTATGATGCTGATGATGATGCTGCTGATCATGACGATGGAGATGATGATGATGATGATGATGATGATGATGATGATGATGATGATGATGATGATGATGATGACGATGGAGATGATGATGATGATGATGATGATGATGATGATGATGATGATGATGATGATGATGATGATGATGATACTGATGCTGATGCTGATGCTGATGATGATGATGATGGTGATGATGATGCTGATGATGACGATGATCATGGTGGTGGTGCTGCTGGTGGTGATGGTGGTGATGATGATGATGATGATGAGGAGGAGGAGGAGGAGGCTGATGAGGAGGGGTAAGGCCTCCCGCAAAGGGGTGCGAGCAGGTGTGGTTGGAGGGTTCACCGCGCCGATCTTTACTGCATCGGTGATGTAGTTTGACGCCGCCGGAGCTGATGTATCGCCGGCATGTCGGCGATGCATCGGCGATGCGGCGCGATCCCCCGAGCCCCTCTGCTCTGACCCAACGTTGGAGGCCCCTAGGGGAGGGGGAGGGGTAGTATGAGAGCGGGGGGTAGTATGAGGGCGAGGGGTAGCAGAAGCAGGATCTAGGATACAGGTTGGAGCTATTTTTAGTTTTGTTTATGCGAAGGCCTCTCGTTGCTACGCCTAAATGTATTTTCGTAGCGTCTTTCAGAGAGCATCCCTGGACGGGTCCAAGGTGCGGCTTCCGAGGGAGAGGGTGATGATGATGATGCTGATGAAGCTGATGATGATGTTGCTGATGCTGATGCTGCTGATGATGCTGATGATGGTACTGATGCTGATGATGCTTATGATGATGCTGATGATGATGTTGATGAGGATGATGACCATGATGATGGTGATGATGCCGCTGATGATGATGATGCTGATGATGCTAAAGATGCAGATGATGCTGATGCTCATGCTGATGAGGATGATGATGATGATGATGCTGCTGCTGATGATGATGATGATGATGATGCTGATGATGATGATTATGCTGATGATGATGATGATGATGATGATGATGATGATGATGATGATGATGATGATGATGATGATGATGATGATGATGATGATGATGATGATCATGATGATACTGATACTGATACTGATACTGATACTGATACTGATACTGATGCTGATGATGACGAAGGCCGTGCAGTAGTGGACCTGCAGGGTCGCGCCGTCTCGTGCGCCTTCTGCAGGCCCACCTGGACGTCCTGGCTCAGCTTCGCGCCGAAGGCCGACGCTTCCCCGGCCACCAGCCCGCGCACGGCTCCCCCAACCAGGCGCCCCAGCCGTGTTTCGGCACCCTCGCTCCGCGCTGCTCGCACTCGAGCTCGGGCCCTCTATGCCACAGTGCTAGGTGTCCGCGACGAGCTGCTTGCGCCTCTCGAGCTTCGGCTTCGGCTTCCCCTTCTTGCGCTCTTTGGCGGTGGGCTTTTGGGGTGGCTCCGCCTCCATCGCCGCCGTGAGCATCGCGCAGGCTCTCCTGAGGATCTGCGCCGCAGTCTTCTCCGCGTACCTGATCTCCCGCACATCGTCCAGGGGGACCTGCACCTCCTCCATGATGCCCTCCACGAACTTGTCGGCGAGGTGGTTGCCCACGTAGTCTCCCATGTCCACTCCCGCCTCGGTAGCATCCGTCACCGACATGTGGCTCTCGATCTCCGCGACCACCATCTTCTTCATTTTCGCCGCTTCGCGGTACCGCTCCCAGAGGTCTTTGTGCGTCTGGGGCACTTTCCTTTTGCGAATATGATCCACGTCCTCGGGTGGCGTAGCTGGAGTCCGTGATGTTCCTGATCCTCTTGTGCGGCTGCATGTGCTCGAGTATCTCGACCATCGCTGTGAGCTCGCATCGGTTGACACTCTACCGCCAGCCCGCCAAGCCCCCTCGGCCGCCCATGGTGAACCAGCCTTCGTTCAGCTCCGTGTTGAGTACGATCCAGCCCCAAGCGATTCTTCTTGTCCTCGGGTCATCGGTGTTCTCGCCCCCTGACGCATCGCCTGCCGTGACAACCCACTCGTTGACGTCCATGTGGGCCTCTCCGACCACTTCACGCAGCTCTTCTCCTGGCTCAGGTGGTGCCGTGACCTGCGTCCAACTCTTGGGCAACATGCCTCTGAGCCACATGCACGGCTGGATCTCGACCCCCTCGTCGGCCTTCTCCTCCAAGCGCTTGGGATTCTCACACTCGGGGATGTTGCCATTGCACCTGCACTTCCACATGCGATGCTCCCAGGTCTCTGGCTCCCTCCTCCTCGCACCCAGGGCATAACACGCTCTCGATCTCGATCCCCATGTCGGCGACCCGCTGCCGCGGCCAGATACCACCACTGAAGATCGCCTGCATGGCCCCGACCTTGTCGAACTTTCCCTGCTTCTTGAGCCTTCTCAGCAAGCCCCTCGCGGAGTGGAGGTCCGCGCCTTCCTCCAGGCCCTTCCCAGCGTGGTGCTCCGCTGTCTTGGCCCACTGCCTTCGCTCAATGGTGTCCGCCAGCGCCGCCTTCAGCTCGCTGGTGTCCACCTCGTTGTCCAAGTCCTTGGGGTTGTCGCCTAAACGACGCCTCTGTCTGACTCCCAGTGCCATGGGCCGTGAGGTACCCAGCCTAGGTCGAGCAGCGTGCAGATCATTGCCCTGGTGACTCCTGCAACTCCTCGCCATGGATCACTCTCCTTCTTGGCCTTCATCTTCTTGACGGTCCTCTCCCACATCATCTTAGCTTTGCGCCTCCTCTTTCCCTCGCTGATGATGTGCATCCAGGAGTCCAGCTGCGAGATGACCGCCCCGTGCCCAGGGTCGCCTCGCCTCAGCTTCAACTGCAGCAGAGTGGTGAGACACCTCCCGCACAGCCGGGGCGCGATCACGCCTGCAAGCCTCCTCCTCTACTTTGTGATCACCGAGGGCGCCATGCTGAAGACCTTGCACGTGTGCGCCGCCCGTGGTAG